TAGTAGAGACGGGGTTTCACCATGTTGACCAGGATGGTCTCGATCTCTTGACCTCATGATCCACCCGCCTCGGCCTCCCAAAGTGCTGGGATTATAGGCGTGAGCCACCGCGCCCGGCCTCAAACTTGGTTTCTAATAATAAACATTTCTAGCTGTGCCACTTCCATCCTAAATTCAGTGTTTCCAAATTGCCTATTTTTCCTCCATTGTTGTCTTAACATATTGTTGGATAACGATGGTGACTACTTCAAAGTTGAGAATCTAACATAAAATATCAAAAGCAGTCACTTCTTATACTCTGGCAGTTATGAGTCTGAAACCAAAACTACGGTCTCATACCTTCTGTAGGTACTTACTGTGTGGATGATGAAGAGTAGAAAGAACATTTAGATTATAAATAGGTTGAACCTCAATATAATGGTATTAAATCTTAATACAGAAAAGATTTTTTGTCAAAAATGTTGTTTGAGACTTGAAAATACATATTTAAGTTTTATTTTCTATTATAGGCATAAACTCTCCACAAGCTTTAAAGAAAATTCTTTCTTTGTCTGAAGAAGGAAGTTTGGAACGTCACAAGAAACAAGCTGAAGATACAATATCAAATGCGTCTTCACAGCTTTCTTCTCCTCCTACTTCTCCACAGAGTTCTCCAAGGAAAGGTAGAATTAAATTACTTTTTGTTTTCTTTTATTGAAACCTATACATTTGGCTACAGTAAATTCCAGAGATATGTATTATATAATTCTTAATGTTATAGTCATTTAAGATGAGCTAATATGTAATGCCCAAGGGATTTTTTTTTTCCATGAGTTTATAAATTTGGAAGAATGGTGGTTTTTTAAAATGTTATACTTACAATAAACAGTATTAAATTTATAACTGTAAAAATGCTTTTAAAAATACATTTACTTTTTATTTGTGATATGTATAAAAATTTTTTATATTAAAAATTATTCTAACTAAATTTGGTTATATGGCATTAATACAGAGAAGGGGGCTTTGAAAACATGAAAAACTAATATCTTCCTGATTTATTTTTTCATTGTATTAACACAGGTCTTGATTCCATTTTTGGTTGCTACCTTGTTTTATTTTTAAAGAGACTGCATTTTAGGTATTCAGAGTCACCTCCTTACGTTGATACATTCTTATATTAAAAGAGTAGGTAATTTTCTGCCGTGTAACTCTTCAGGCTACTTTCTCCTCCTACCCTTTAACTGAATGAGTGTAAGCCAATAGTAAATGGCTAGAACTTAGTTTTTCGTAAAGGAAGACCGAAAGGGCTTATAATACATTGTTAAATTTCATGGACACAACAGGTATTGCTTTACTTAGTAGATATTTCAGACATCTGTGCATTTTGTATGGGTATCAGTCTCTCCTGTCCTTGTTACATGGATGCATCTCAATTCTTTTCTCATCCTGTTGTTAGGTGGCAGTGGCAATCAGCTGAGATCTTTTGGCTCCGGGCAATTGGACTTAACCAGTTCCTCCTCTTCTCTTGGAAGTGAGAACAGTAACAAGAATAACAATGCACCACGGACCTATGGGATAGGTGGGGTTTATAGAACCAAAAAACGGGGTGGGAAAGAGAGGAATCATCTCATTAGTTAACGAAAATGGGAGAATTCCTCCAAATGTCAAGTGATCATCTGAGTGATTTATTTTTCTGAAGATTTTTTTTTTTTTAGCGGACTGTTCAGAGAAGGCTTTAAATCTTATCTGTCAGAACTTTCAGTGTGGTTTTATAAAAATACATTTTATAAATGAACACATTAAATCTTATCAAGACCTGTGCAGCCTTTAAAAAATAAATCAGGAATTAACAATATACTAAAAGAACATACTTAAACTGGCAACATTTAGATGCTCTAGATTTTAATTTTTCTTAGGTAAGTGGCATTGAAGAAATTTGCATTGCATATAATAATATAAAATCAATATTTAAGTAACATGATATCCCTAGTAACATAGACAAGAAAAAAAAATGAGTATTGAGAAAGAAGATTTAGACTTTTTTCATTAAAAAATATCAAGATAAGGTCAGGTGCAGTGGCTCATGCCTGTAATCTCAGCAGTTTGGGAGGCCGAGGTGGGCTGATCACCTGAGGCCAGGAGTTTGAGACTAGCCTGGCCAACATAGTGAAACCCTGTCTCTACTAAAGATAAAAAGAAAAAAACACCAAAATTAGCCAGGCATGGTAGCACACACCTGTGTAATCCCAGCTACTCAAGAGGCTGAAGCAGGAGAATGGCTTGAAGCCAGGAGGTGGAGGTTGCAGTGAGCTGAGATCCGCCACTGCACTCCAGCCTAGGTGGCAGGGAGAGACCCTATCTTAAAAAAAAAAAAAAAAAAAAATGAAGACAGACCCCTTCAATTGTGACTTTCCAAATTATTTTTCGTAACAAAACAGAGTTAAGAGTACTTTCAGGCCAAGAAGTGGACATCTGTTTAGATACTCTATAGTAATCATCTTGTGAAAAGTGCCCGTTAACTCCTTCAAAACGATTGGCTTTTATGTGATTCAACCAATATTAATGTTGAAAAACCAAATGGCAAAAATTCAAAGAATCTTCAGGTCTTATTTCTTATTTTTGTTTATATGTTTACTTAAAATTGTAAGATACCGATATTTCCAGTTGAATTATTCTATCCCATACAAGTTCTAAAAATTAAAAACTGTTGAAAACAAGATCAGTGGCTTTACAGTTTGAAAAAAAGCATACTTTAAAAAACCTGATCCATTATTCTTTATGGTTTCTTTTCTACAGACGAATAGCGTAATTATAGGTAAGGGAGCTAAGAATAGTCGAGTGGTACCTTTTCTGCATCTGTTCCCAGCTTATAGGATACTTTCTTTTTTCCTCTCTAAACTTTAATTAAACAACTTAAGCTTCATAAGAATAAACATTTATCTCTTAGTCATGTAGTCTCTACAAGTGAAATGGCTTTTTTCCCCCACTTCTGTAGAGATATTTATGCCTGCATTTTATTTTTGCTTCTATTTGGTAGACTTCCCTTTGATGTTGTAAACCTAGAGAGTCTAATTAATATGGTCGTATTTCTCATGCAGGCTATACTTTGGCTCCCAGTGGTACTGTGGATAATTTTTCAGATTCTGGTCACAGTGAAATTTCTTCACGATCCAGTATTGTCAGCAATTCTTCTTTCGACTCAGTGCCAGTCTCACTGCACGATGAGAGGCGTCAGAGGCATTCTGTCAGCATTGTGGAAACAAACTTAGGGGTGGGCAGAATGGAGAGGCGGACCATGATGGAACCTGATCAATATAGCTTGGGGTAGGTGGCTTTTCTTAGTGTTCTTTTGAATTTATCCTTCCATCTCTTTTTTAGTAATGAGTCTTTTCTTCCAGATGTTTATTTTTATTTATTCTACATAATACCTAAGAATTTTTTCTAGTTCTGATTTTCAGTTTCTACTCTGAGTATCACTAAGTGTCTGTTATGCACACTGCTTTTTTACTTTATCCTTCATTGGAACACAATTGTTTTGTGCTGAAGCTGGAGGAGGGTGACAATGGGATTCATCCTAGTTCTTTTGTATGAGCTGCCTTCCCAAAATAATCAAATTATATTGAGCCATCCTTAATGCTGTCAGGGATTTTTTTTTTTTTTAATAGCAAGTTACATTCTTTTCCCCCATGTTTATTTTATTGTAATAACAAAGTGAGAAGGCTAGACGTGGCACAACTGGTCACTATAAGACAATTCAGTGCTACTTTTATCCTGTTTCTGGGATGAAAGCAAGCTGCCTTTCTAGCAAAAACGATATTTTGGTTTTATCATCGGTGATTTAGTTATCAATCTTGATTTTTTTTTTCTTTTCTATTTCTTTTGACCACTTAGGTCCTATGCACCAATGTCTGAGGGCCGAGGCTTATATGCTACAGCTACAGTAATTTCTTCTCCAAGCACAGAGGAACTTTCCCAGGATCAGGGGGATCGTGCATCACTTGATGCTGCCGACAGTGGCCGTGGGAGCTGGACGTCATGCTCAAGTGGCTCCCATGATAACATACAGACCATCCAGCACCAGAGAAGCTGGGAGACTCTACCATTCGGGCACACTCACTTTGATTATTCAGGGGATCCTGCAGGTTTATGGGCATCAAGCAGCCATATGGACCAAATTATGTTTTCTGATCATAGCACAAAGTATAATAGGCAAAATCAAAGTAGAGAGAGTCTTGATCAAGCTCAGTCTCGAGCAAGCTGGGCATCTTCCACAGGTTATTGGGGAGAAGACTCAGAAGGTGACACAGGCACAATAAAGCGGAGGGGGGGAAAGGACGTTTCCATTGAAGCCGAAAGCAGTAGCATAACGTCTGTGACCACAGAAGAAACCAAGCCCGTCCCCATGCCTGCCCACATAGCTGTGGCATCAAGTACTGCAAAGGGGCTCATTGGTAAGTTTTAAAATTGGGGGACTTTGCTATGTCTGGATCATGTCTTTAATGTAACTTATTACAATAGTAAAATAATGTGTTTGTTGGTTCTTTTCTTCAACATTGCTATAGAGGACTTCCAAAGTAATGGTGTGTTAAGGTCTTTGAAATCAGTAGTGTTTAAGAGCCCAGGTTTTGTGGTCAAGTACATATAGATATATTCCTACGTAATAAACTCAATGAATCTTAGCTATCAGTAGATTGTCATTGTGGATATTATCTAGTCTAATTCTTTTTCTCTTAGCCTGAAAATCAGGATGAATTCCTATTATTCATAGAGGAGAAACTTTAATCAAAATAAAAAAATTAAAAATCTTTCATTCTATTTTGTTGCCATAGTCCTATTTAGAACTATACTCTCTGTATATTTAAAAGTCTTCCATTGATTTTTATTCTGCATGCACATCATTTCTTTTTTTATTATTATACTTTAAGTTCTGGGATACAACATACTTCGTTTCTTGATAAGCAGTTCTTTGTGCACGCTGTAGAAAAGGGAAAGGCACTAATTATATAATGACTAAAAGCACGGGCTTAGGAGTCGGACTGGGAATTGAATCCCTGTTTTGCCACTTTATTAGTTTTGTGACATTGGGTAAAATACAAAACAGTGCCTGTTTCCTCATCTGTAAAATGAGCTTAATGATTTCTACTTAATAGAGTTAGTGTGAGGAGTCAGGGAAATTTATGCAAAGTATTTAGAGCGGTGCCTAGATAGTAGATTCCTTAAGTACTTGAAAGCTGTTGCTGCTGCTGTTTTTGTTATGAAGAGACTGTCATGCTCCCTCAGTCCTGTTGGATTTATTTGCTAAGGCACAATTAATGTCTATATAGATGAGTGTAGGAACAGATTATAGGTTGTAGAGTGAGAAATTCTGGAGTATAATCATTACAGACATCACTTTTATTAGTAGGAAAATTGTAGTTATTTAGCCATTTAAATAGTCATGAGTAGATTTCAAATTTTATATCCTTTTACAGTGAATAAGGAGAAAACAGTTAATACATTTTCTTAAGTTGGACTTTTTCAAATGCTTACAACTAATACTCGGAATTTTTATTGCAAAGGAAGAATGTTTTTTGTTCTTAACAATTGAATCTGAAAAATTCAAGAAAATAAAACTTAGTTTTACTGCCTATATAATTGGTTTCATATTCTAGATCATGAGCATCAATAAAGGGGTTTTAAGAAACATAGACACCTTATAGTAATATTTTTAGAGTTTTTAAATTGGTATCCTTTGTTTATGTGACTTTTCCAAATTTACTTGAATTCATTGTTGTGAAGTCCTGAGACCTGAGAGTGATGTGGAATTGCTTCTCTGCCTGGTAAAGATAAATGCCCAGAAAGAGGGCAGATCCTATCTAGTCTCTAAGGCAGACAGGGAGGAAAAAGGGAACTTGTACCAAACACAAACAGGTTCCAGGCCTAGTGCTAGGTACTTCTTATGTTCTTCCTGTGCTTTAGTCTTTCCAATAAATCCAGTGATTAGGTTTTAATCTTAAGCACTATTTTATAATTATAGACCATTTTAAACGGACAAGCAGCCCATTTAAAGATAAAAGCACTTAGATGGACTAGCAGCTGCCCTCACCAATTACTTCACCACACAGAGATAACCATTGTGAAATGTGGTTTAGTTAACATGCATTCCCTGGCCTGCCTCGCACAGCACCTCTATCCCATACCACATAGTCACATTTGTTACTACACTGTGTATGCTGTTTTAATAATAATTTTTATATTTTTAATAAACTTTTGTGGCATGAACTAGTTTTTAATGCTGGTGCCTTGTTTCTGCTCTAGCACGAAAGGAGGGCAGGTATCGAGAGCCCCCGCCCACCCCTCCGGGCTACATTGGAATTCCCATTACTGACTTTCCAGAAGGGCATTCCCATCCAGCCAGGAAACCTCCGGACTACAATGTGGCCCTTCAGAGATCGAGGATGGTCGCACGATCCTCCGACACAGCGGGGCCTTCATCTGTACAGCAACCACATGGGCATCCCACCAGCAGCAGGCCTGTGAACAAACCTCAGTGGCATAAACCTAACGAGTCCGACCCGCGCCTCGCCCCCTATCAGTCTCAAGGGTTTTCCACCGAGGAGGATGGTATATACACATATGTATTCTTAAAACCTCCAAGCTAGATGTGTTCAATTATGTTGCCTCCCAACGCATTTCTGTTTCTTAACACTGGTCAGCTGTGTCTCTAACCATACACTACACAAAGAACACTTTGTTCAGAGTTCCAAATTTAGGGTTACGGCTGTTGACTGCTGTGTGTGTGTGTGTGTGTGTCCCTAAATGACTTTTTGTGTGTCTGTGTTTCCCTAAGTGACTTTTTGTGTGTCTGTGTGTGTGTGTTTCCCTAAATGACTTTGTGTGTGTGTGTTTCCTTAAATGATTCTGTGTGTGTGTGTGTGTTTCCCTAAATGACTTTTAAAAATGCCAAAAATTATGGAGAGAGTCAAAGTATGTATATGATTTCTTTTCTAATTCTCACTGAAATTGAAGTACTTCTGTGGTCCTATTTTAAGAGGAAAAAAAAGGCCAGATGCGATGGCTCATGCCTGTAATCCTAGCACTTTGGGAACCCAAGATGGGCGAATCACTTGAGCTCAGGAGTTTGAGACCAGCATGGTCAACATGGTGAAACCCTGTCTCTACTAAAAATACAAAAATTAGCTGGGTGTAGTTGCAGGCACCTGTAATCCCAGCTACTCAGGAGGCTGAGCCAGGAGAATTGCTTGAGCCCAGGAGGCAGAGGATGTCATGAGCCAAGATCATGCCACTGCACTCTAGCCTGGGTGACAGAGTTAGAATGCATCTCAAAAAAAGAAAAAGAACATAAAAATCTCACAAGTTTGTTCTGTTTCCAAGAATTTTAGAAGCATCTAGGACTCTCAAAGGTAGATGGTTAAAGTTTTCTGTGGAAACATTGTGTTTGCACTTTTAATGAATTGGTACTCATTTGAAAATGAAAGTCTGATTTAAAAAAAAAGTACATTCTCAGCCAGCCTGGTGACTCATGCCTGTATCCCCAGCACTTTGGGAGGCTGAGGTTGGAGAATTGCTGGAGGCCAGGAGTTCAAGACACATAGTGAGACCTGTCTCCATAAAAATATTTTTCAAATGACCCAGTTGTGGTGGCATGTGCCTGTAGCCCTAGCTACTATGGAGGCTGAAGTGGGAGGACTACTTGAGCCCAGGACTTCAGGCTACAGTGAGCAATGATTGTACCACTACACCGTAGCCTAGGTGGCAGAGCAAGACCCTGTCTCTAAAAGAGAGAGAGAGAGAGGGCGGGAGGGAAGGAAGGAACCCACATTCTCTGCAGCTCTTTGTGCATTCTTTCTACAGATCTGTCTGACCATGCTGAATTGACAATGAGGAGGGAGATCATGTCCTCCCATCCTCTTTTTAAAGTTGTCACTTTAAAATATGTGATTACACAATCATAGAAAAAAGCAAAACATGACCAGAGAGTGAAACCGTCTCAAAAAAATTAAATAGAAAAACTTTACAAATGAAAATTACTTAGAATCCTGCCACTCACAGATAGCCACTATTAAAATTTTGTTACAGATCCTAGACTTTTTATATATATCTGATCGTATATTATTTTTTAAACACATGCTGTTTTATAACTTTTTTAAATGAATTTATTAACCTTCTGAATAAAAATATATAATGCATATCTTTTTAATATTGTGTATTTATGTATATGTAAAGATATGTATTGCATGTACATTTTAACCTTGTTGTTGTTGTTCATCATTAGGAAAAAAGACAAGGATTTTAAGTGAGCTATGCTAAACAATAACTATGATATTTTTATTTAGCATATCAGTAAATATATTTTCTCTAGCACAAGAAATTACTTGCTTGCTCATTGCTTTCTTTTTCTTCCCTACTGTATTTGCAGAAGATGAACAAGTTTCTGCTGTTTGAGGCACAGGCTTTTCTGGATCCAGAGCGAGCCACCTGAAAGGAGAGCACAAGAAGACGTCCCGAGCATTGGAGCCTTGGAACTCACATTCTGAGGATGGTGGACCAGTTTGCCTCCTTCCCTGCCTTAAAGCAGCATGGGGCTTCTTCTCCCCTTCTTCCTTTCCCTTTTGCATGTGAAATACTGTGAAGAAATTGCCCTGGCACTTTTCAGACTTTGTTGCTTGAAATGCACAGTGCAGCAATCTTCGAGCTCCCACTGTTGCTGCCTGCCACATCACACAGTATCATTCCAAATTCCAAGATCATCACATCAAGATAATTCCCTCTGGCTGCACTTCTCAATGCCTGGAAGGATTTTTTTAAATCTTCCTTTTAGATTTCAATCCAGTCCTAGCACTTGATCTCATTGGGATAATGAGAAAAGCTAGCCATTGAACTCCTTGGGGCCTTTAACCCACCAAGGAAGACAAAGAAAAACAATGAAATCCTTTGAGTACAGTGCTTGTCCACTTGTTTACAATGTCCTCCTTTTTTTAAAAAAAAAAAAAAAATTAGTTTAAAGATTGTGTTCAGAGAGTAAATGTTATATCCATTTAATGATTACAGTATTATTTTAAACTTTAAGTAGGGTTGCCAGCCTGGTTTCTGAAAAACCAAATATGCCGGACAGGGTGTGGCCACACCAAGATGACGGGAAGACCTGGCTTGTGACCTTGGCTTCCCATGTCCTTCTGGTCTCACCCGTGAAGTGCCCTATCCTGGAAGTATGAAATGTTAGCCAATTAATACCAAGACACCTCATCTGCTCCTTCCCTAGTGGATGGGGTTCTTTTGTAAAACTGTTTGCACATGGCCAGGGGAGGGAAATGGGACCCTTGTGTCCTGTCTGAGCCTTATGGAGGCAGGACGGTGTCATTGGAGGATGTGTCCTGCTCCATTGAGATGGATGGCAAACCCCATTTTTAAGTTATATTTCTTTGATTTTTGTTTAAATTTAGAGGTTTAGGTTTTGTTTTTTGTTTTTGTTTTTAAGAGAAACATTTATAACTGGATAGCGTTGCAGTGAAAGCAGCTTGGGATGTTGGGGCTAATGCCAGCTGTTTATACTGCTCTTTCAAGACAGCCTCCCTTTATTGAATTGGCATTAGGGAATAAACAAGCCTTTAAACGTGATAAAAGATCAAAAACCTGGTTAGATATGCCAGCCTTTGCAGGGCAGGTTAGTCACCAAAGACTAACCTCCAAGTGGCTTTAAGGACACTGCATATAGAGAAGGCCTAAGTGTAGCAACCATCTGCTCACAGCTGCTATTAACCCTATAATGACTGAAATGACCCCTCCACTCTATTTTTGTGTTGTTTTTGCACAGACTCCGGAAAAGTGAAGGCTGCCAATCTGAGTAGTACTCAAATGTGAGGAACTGCTGGTCTTGGATTTTTTTTCCATTAAATTCAGCTGATCATATTGATCAGTAGATAAACGTAAATAGCTTCAAATTTTAAAAGTGGAATTGCAGTGTTTTTTCACTGTATCAAACAATGTCAGTGCTTTATTTAATAATTCTCTTCTGTATCATGGCATTTGTCTACTTGCTTATATATTACATTGTCAATTATGCATTTGTAATTTTACATGTAATATGCATTATTTGCCAGTTTTATTATATAGGCTATGGACCTCATGTGCATATAGAAAGACAAATCTAGCTCTACCACAAGTTGCACAAATGTTATCTAAGCATTAAGTAATTGTAGAACATAGGACTGCTAATCTCAGTTCTCTCTGTGATGTCAAGTGCAGAATGTACAATTAACTGGTGATTTCCTCATACTTTTGATACTACTTGTACCTGTATGTCTTTTAGAAAGACATTGGTGGAGTCTGTATCCCTTTTGTATTTTTAATACAATAATTGTACATATTGGTTATATTTTTGTTGAAGATGGTAGAAATGTACTATGTTTATGCTTCTACATCCAGTTTGTACAAGCTGGAAAATAAATAAATATAACATAAAGCCTTGCCTATATTCTTAATGAATCATGCATGCTTTCTATTATTAAAGTGGAGTAGAAGCCTTTAGTCTCCTGCAGAAGCAAGTCCTCCGGCTGGACAGATTTAGCCTCTTGGTTGTTGGAAACTGCCCGATAGCCTATTTATTTTAGGCAGATCTCTATTGATCCAAAGCAATTAGTATCATTAATGTTAGCACCAACCAAACCATGTTCAGAATTCAGTGTTACTTGAAAATGAAGATGCTGTCACAATATATTTGCATAACATTTGTTTCTTCTCAACCTTTTCCAACAGTAATCTTTATGGGACGTATGATGTTTGTTTCCAGTATACATACTGAGAGACAGGACCTCAGAGAACTTAAACTGCCATTCAACATCATGATCATTAAGAGTACAATTTAGCTAGTGATTCTGGACTTCTAATTAGTACACAATATTGATATGCATACTGATGTGTGGTAAGTCTGAATAATACTTCAGTCTATCAGAAGGGCACTTACATTTTGAAAGGTAAAACCTGTTAAGTAGCAGCCTTCTTAAGCACATTTTTAAATGAGTGACTCATTTTTTTTCCTCAAGCAGGCATAACTAAAAGCATTACGCATCAGCCGCTGCGAAGTCTCAGAAGTTGGAGTGAAAGCAACCGGAAGCAGCGGCACCAAATGCTGGGAAATTCGAGGGAGTCTGAAGCAGAGTGGGAGGAAGGTCCCTCCAGAAGCCAACAGGAAAATGGCCACGGGCCAGACTTCAAAATCTTGCCGAGGCATTCGTGCCAGCTGTTTCCCTGAGTAAATTTTGAAAGCCTGGACACCAAAACAGGATAATTTTTAAATTTTTTAAAAATTATTACAGTAGCTTCAACCATACCTTTTAAAAAAGGAAGAACCTGCCTGTTTGTGTTTGTTGTTACATGGTCACCTGTTGTCTTTTCACTTTAAAACCCATTCCTCAGGGACTTTCCTAGACTGTCAGCTTAATTTTCTCAAATTTCTTTTGAAAAAGTACTAAGAATCTGATGTATTGGACAACAACTTCTTTATCACCTTTTGTGTTCTGCTAAAAATATGAGACAGTGACAAATAGGCCATAGTGTGTTATCCTTTTAGGTTTTAGGCCATAGTTTGTTATCCTTTTAGGTTTTATTAGACTTATGTTTTAGGATACCTCTGTGTAGCACAAGAGTGGTATCCACTTAAGGGTTACAAGAAATAAGTATTTCCCAGGTGTAACAGACTGCAGGGACAGAGTTTAATCTGTGTTATGTTAATAATGGAACTTTGTCAAGTTTTAGGAATGTTGTAGAAGATTTTGGTGAAGGTCTGATGTGCTCCACCCTAATCAAAGAGGCCATACAGATCTGGGTCTGTGTTTTCAGACATACAGGTATAAGTCCTCAGAATGCTTTTCTCAGCTTCAATCCATTTCTCTGCTTTTGGGAGGCATAGATTTTATGCTCATCTATGATTTAATATATTTTACCTGTAGTTCACTGATAATATCCCAAAATACTCTTGAATAATGCAAGCTTCTGAGGATGCATGTATCGACACACCCGTTAGGTCTGCACCTCTCAATGCCAATGCGCTACATTCATGCCAAAGAAAAACGGGAAGCTCTCTGTGTGCTTGATCCCGTGATAACCAGCGTTAACTTTTTTAAGAAAAAATAGCTTGCTTAGAGAATAAAGGTAATGCAGCAACTGAGGAGTCAAGTTGTTGACTGCAGAAGTAAATAATTTTGTGAAGTTTCACTGGGTGTAATATCAGCAGAGGTTGTTGAAAGGGGCAATAAGATGGAAATGTGCAGGGCAAACAGCTGAGGCCAACATGGCAGTTCCAAGAAGGATTTTACAGTGAATGAGAATTTACCTATTTGAGAGTCAGACAAAAACATCGACTGGAACTGAAAAATAATTTATGAATTGCACTTTTTTTTTTTTTTTTTGAGTCAGAGTCTCACTCCGTGGCCCAGGCTGAAATGCAGTGGTGCAATCTCGGCTCCACCCCCTGGGTTGAAGCGACTCTCCTGCCTCAGTCTCCCGATTAGCTGTGATTACAGGCATGCGCCACCACACCCAGCTAATTGTTGTGTTTTTAGTAGAGATGGGGTTTCACCATGTTGGTTAGGCTAGTCTTGAATTCCTGACCTCAAGTGATCCACACACCTTGGCCTCCCAAAGTGCTGGGATTACAGGTGTGAGCCACTGCCTGACCTTAATTACATTTCTTAAAAGATTCACATTTTAGCCAAGTACAAGGCAAGCTAGTTTTTACTATGCCATAGCTATATACCAGAAAAATTTATAGAGGTGATCAAAACATTGCATACAAGGTTAAATGCCAGAAAAGGCTTTATTTCATGGGCAATCAAGATTGTAACAATTCTTAAGGGAAAAATGTGTAAGCCTAGAATAAAATATCTGAAATAAATTTAGTCAAATGACCAGTTTTATGAAGAATGAAAGTGAAATAAATTTAATCCCGAGTGTTCAACACCTCAAAAATAAAAGCTAGTTTAATACAATTTAAGAAACTTGGTTAGGTACAGTGGCTCATACCAGTAACCTCAGCATTATGGGAGGCTGAGGCAAGAGGATTGCTTGATGCCAGGAATTCAAGAACCAGCCTGGGCAACAAAGAAAGACCCTATCTCTATTAAAAAAAAAAAAAAATTAAAAATTTAGCCAGGTGTAAGGGTGTGCACCTGTAGTCCTAGCTACTGAGGAGGCTAAAGTGGGAGGATTGCTTAAGCCCAGGAGTTCAAGGCTGCAGCGATCTATGATCATGCCACTGCACTCTAACCTGGGCGACAGGGCAAGACTCGGTCTGGGGAAAAAAAAAAAAAAAAAATTTTTAATAATAATGTATGAACTGGCCAAGTGCACTGTGGTCAGATGGGGACCAGTGATTTAATAGTATCTCAAAATACGTGAGGTTTTCTTTATACAAATTGAAACTTTTTTCCCCCAAATAAGACTATAAAATTGATTTAGGATCAGGTCAGCGTCACATTTGTTATTAAGATTAAAATATATGTACAGTGCTTCTAGATTAGTGAGCTAATTTACTGTGGTCTAGGCACTTTTCTAGATGCTAGATATTTACAGATTTTACTGAAGCGAACTGAGGCACCAAGTTATGCTTTCTTATTTTAGAGAATTGTCTCCCATAACTCAGGCCCTGCATGGAAAAACCTACTGAGTGACCCCACCGTCTTGATCACAGCTGGATTGAAACCTGGTCCAAGATTTGCCAATGTAGGCTCACCAGCAGTCTGTAAGAGGGTTCTGGAGTGAGCACTGCGACTAGCCAGTAGGAAGAAAAGCAACAACTAACAACCTTATCACCTTCTGTTTAGGGAATTTATATGAAAAGTCCAAAAAGAGCAAAAAGTACTAAAGAAGTGAGTATGCAGCTGCCATCACCTAAGAGAAGCAATGAGAATGCAGAAATTGTGAACAAGAAGGGGCCCGTGAGGTCAACAAAGCAATTCATCAACAGCAGGAATTGTGTTAAAAGCTTAGTGTGACAGACACTTCTTATGGAACAACCAAATGATCTGTCATCATTGTACCTGAATAAAATGTCCAGTCTTAGAACAACTCCCTGAAGCTTGGCTCTGAAATGTTCTTGTTCTTCATGAGACCAGGATGGAGAGCTATTATTGTGTATCCTCTCTGAATAACCACTCTGTTCTCAGCATCTAGAACAGTGCCTGGGATAGTACAAAGGCATTTAATAAGTGAATATCATATCAGCCTAAATGACCTCAATTACACACATAAATCGGAGACTCAAAAATCAGACAAAATGCATGTTTGAAGGGGCATCTGTAATTACTCAGACTGGTGAATATTCGGAAATCACATAAATGACTCATAACAAGGCTGGCAAGGGTTTCAGATCAATCAGAAGGAGCAAAGGATAAAAGACTGTTTAAGAGTTAAGTTTTGTGCAGCTACAGAAGTTCTGAGGAGTGAAAGATCAATGAAGACTGAAGTGTTCATAAGAAGAGACTTCAGCTATGGCTGGAAGTATCACTCGAAGATGTGAATGAAGGCAAGAGGTAGGGCTATTCGTATATCTGTGGGACACAGGAGTCATGCCTCATTAGGTGGGACATTATGATCAGAAGATGCTGAGAAATTGGTTGGCGTAAGTAGGGAGTGTGAGATTACATAGGACAAAAAATGTTTACCAAGATTGTTCATTTTAGGGGATCAATCATGCTTATAAAAAGAAATGAAGAAGAAAGGAGAATGACAGAATCTTTCAATGAGACAGTGGTAGGAAAGGATGACTTGTTAGGCAGGACCAGGCAGGGTAGAGGGTGAGGCGAGGGAAGGTAGCTAGCTGGGGAACCTGCTATCATCCAGGCCTGAGCTAGCAAAGCCCTGGAAAGCATGGCATCAAGGGAGTAGAGAAGAGCAAAGGCAATTCAAAGGAAAAAAATCAATAGAATTTGATGTCAAATAGCAGATGAGAAACTTCAAAGATAAGCCAAAATTTGTAAAATGTTGAAGAGTCGTACTCTGAATGCTTAAGATAAAGAAAATAGGCCAGTACAGTGGCTCACGCCTGTAATCCCAACACGGGGAAGCCAAGGTGGGAGGATTGCTTGAGCCCAGGAGTTCAAGACCAGCCTGGGCAACACAGGGAGATCCTGTCTCTAAAAAAAAAACAGAACAAAATTATTCAAGCTCAGTAGCACGGGCCACTATGTGCCAGCTACTTGGGAGGCTGCGGTAGGATCATCTGAGCCCAGCAGTTCCAGGTTGCAATGAGCTATGGTTGTACAACTGCACTCCAGCCTGGCCAACAGAGCAAGACCTTGTCTCAAATAAGCAACATTGACAAAGATAAGGAAGTTTCAGAAAATATTAATTTTTAAAACTGAGTCAAAAAAAAAATCTTGTCCATGGGATTCAAAGTTATACACTATTTCCATAATACCTTTTGTTAATACATCCATAAGGTAAGACTCTGGATGTGGTTGAGGATGGGGG